TAAAATGGCACAGATGATGTCTTTTGACTCATACGTACATTGCAGTTAAGTGAGGCACAGTTGCTTAGACTCATTGGCCTCACTCTCTCTTCCAGAATCATCAGTCCATTGGCAAGACAAAAGTTAAGATGACTGGCAATGGCTTGGGGTGCAGTGGATGACCTTGGCATCTTCGATGTCTAACCAAGCTCTAAGTGCTTTACAACACTTGCTTCAACCACCTTCATGGCTATAAGAACAAATTGTTCCATCCACTTATTCCACCAGGGCAGTCTTCAAATGCTTGGGGTAGACACACCCCTAACTCACCAACAGATTTGAGACCCCTTGGTTACCCTCAACCTGGGTTTAGTCTGTCTGTTGGAATGGTTTACCAGGGTGTGCCCACTGCACATGGTACAACTTCCTGGAGCCACAGGTGAGAGTTGGATGAATCAGGTGGATACCAAAGGTGGAACACAGACCTGAAAAGGGCTTGGCAGTCATCACACCAGAGGTATAGTCTTCCTCAAAGACCCTATACTCCTTTTTGCTTATATTTGCATGTCCAAGGTTTAGTACTGCGCCTAGAATAGTATAAGTGCTTAATAAATGCTTGATGAGTGACTGATTGACCTACTACTTAGACACTTCAATGGAAATATGGTCTAGTTGGTATACTTACTACCCTCACTAGTATAACTTCACCCTTTTCTGTTGCTCACACAAGACCTACCATCTCCATTTCCATGTCTTTTCATAAATCTTTTATGTATTAGTACCTGAAGCATCGGATCTTTTCTGTTTTGTTTTTTTTTAGTGTATCTTGGGAGTACCAGTGAAATTTTGGACCATTCATCTATTTACCACATGACTAGCCCACCTATTCCAGTTAAACGTCTTTGATGTTGCTTTTATAAAATTTCTTTGCACAAGTTATCATTGGTAACACTGTGGACTACTCATACCCACCATGTGCTATTCAATCATCACCTATGATTAGTTTTCAGAGATCATAATGTTCCATTATTCATAGCCAATTGACATTATTGAGAAAATGCTAGTGTCGAGGATGACTTTTCTTATAACATCATTTAAAACACTAAGTAATTTCCTTAATACAACCCAGCCCTTCCATTCAATTGTGATCCTAGCTTGTTGCTCATTTACAATTTCTAACCATTAGAATGTAAGTTCCTTGAGGGCAGAGACCTAGTTTTTGCAGTTCTTTTTATCTTCAGTTTTTAGCACAGATCATGGCACAGATAAGAATACTTAATAAGTACATGTGATTTGTTGATTAATCAAAGACTCATATGTAGCCTTGTCATGGAATGGCAGTGACCTTGGTTCTTAAAATCTATGTCAGTGGATCATGAGTTCCAGAAGGATTTTCTACAACTTTAAGAGTCAACCTGGTGATGAACTGTATTGAGTATAAATTATCAATTGTCCAAGTACCAACCTAACTAACTAAATTTGGAGAGGATCATCACTTGATTGGTCACAGAGTTATAATTTTTTGGGAGTGGGCAGGAAGGAACACACCACAGACCATCTACTTATACACAGAGGGTTTGTGATGTGTTGGTATTTACACCAACAAAATTGTAGATTTTGAAGCACTGAAGAATTATCCTTCCTTGGCTACTATAGGCACTTTACCTCTCCTCTCTAAGCTTCAGTTTTCTCATTTGTGAAATGAAGATAATTCCTGAAGTATGGACTTCATAGGGTCTCTGTAAAGATCAAATGAGATAAAACATGTAAATAAGTTTATGAACATTAAATAGCTTATATAATGTCAACTGTTATACAGATAAAATTAAGTGGGGATTTGAAGACAATTATCAGGAAAATCAAGGAAAAACTCTTTATAGGAAGCTAAGTGGTACAATGGATAGAGTTCTGGACCTGAAGTCAAGAAGACCTGAGTGCAAAGCTGTATTGCCCTGATTGCATCATTTACCCTCAGTTTCCTCAACTGTAAAATGAGGGAGAATGATAGCATCTGCCTCCAAAGTTGTTGTAAAGATAAAATAATACACTATGAAATCCATGACTCAAAGCCTATTAGCTTAAGACTGGTGTGAAGACAGTGAAGACTGATTTTTCTATGCCTGTATGAGGGGCAAAATTAGCAAGAGTTAAAGAGAGGAGAGATCTTGATCTTCTGGCTTCCAGCTTCCAAAAGAGAATACACGTGGTTCCAGATTCTCTTTAAGAGAGGTCCTTAAAGAGAAAGAAAGTCTCTGGGAAGAAGCTGACATGTAGAGGAGCCCACACCTTGATCATGTCCCTATCACCAGCTTACTATATTAGAGACTTGGAGCAATTTCCCCTTGGGGTGAGATCTGAGGACTCAACCTCTCTGTCCTCTGTCTATCTGTCTGCCTCTCTTGAGCTCAGATATCTCCAGTATCCCCAGTAGAGGAGCTCATTCATGTTGGTATTTTCTAGTTTATTCTCATCTTGTATTTTCTCTGTCTGGTATTGGCTTGAATAAATAGTGTATTTACTCTTGGTTATGTGTGGTATTTGTGGAACTGGCATTTGGCGGACAGTCAAATCTTGGATACATAAGTTGAGGAACCCTTTCCTTGTTAAGAGAGAGCAATCATGTGCTCAACCTGAGCCTGTAAATTATTTCCTGTAGACTAACAATATGTGTATGTATGTGTGTGTGTGTGTGTGTATACACACACACACACACACACACACACACACACACATATATATTATATATATATATATATATATATATATATATATATACATACATACATATATTTTTTGGGGGGGCAATATAATTCTAGCCTAGTATCCATTCACTGAGAAAAGAATGTTCAGACTCTCGTGCCAATCTCCTGCTCCCTTTCTGATAAGAATCAAAGTTTCTTTTGGGCACAGGAGACTATAGATCTGTCTATTCATGCCTACCTCCCTATGAACTAGAGCTGTAGAGACCCATGTGGACACACATAACCTGTATTGTAAATACCCCCCCCACACACACATTCCTCCTACAATTTGCAATCTTTAAAGTGCTATATAAATGCTAGCTACTATTATTAGAGGGAAATGAAGCTTTATTGACCCAAATACCATAGGTTAGTTTTCCATATGATCAAATTAGTCAGATAAGGGTTAGTTAGGTCCTTTACCTTCTCTGTGTGGATAAAATTATTTGCTTTAGCTTTGAAAAAACCAGTTGGCAATACAGCACAGTGGAAAAGCAGTAGAAAGGAAGGAAACAAACATTTATTAAGCGCGTATTATGTTCCAAGTACTGTGTTAAGATCTTTACAGATATCTCATTTTGTCTGAATACCAACCCTGGGAGGTAGGGAGGTGTTGTTATCCTTATTTTACAGTTGAGGAAATGGAGCCACACAGAGTTTAAGTGATTTGTTCAGTGACCATACATAATAAGTGTCTGAGGCCAAATTTGAATTCAGATCTTAAGTCCAGGCCCAGTGCTCTATAACTGAGCTACCTAGCTGTTAGTAGAGTAGGATTCAGGGAGCTATAACCTTCAGTTCTAGTCCTGGCTGAGCTACTAACTAGTCTGTGATCTTGTTCCTTTGGCCTGAATTTCCTCATTTATAAAATTAGCAAGTGGTCTAGTTCAACTAAGAAGAGAAACCTCATGGTTTTCTTCCTTTCTTCAGTGTCCTTTCTTGGCTCATCATCCTCCCTCCTCAAAGCTTTGGAACTGATGGCTCAGAAGCCATCTAGTCTAACCCCTCATTTTAAAAATAAGGAAAACTCGGACAAAGAAAGTTAATTGACTTGCTTAAGATCACATAGGAAGTGAGGGAAATAGGGTTTAAATAAGAGTCATCTAACCAGAGCCTATCACTTCCTCCCTAGCTGAAGTTATGTTTTAAGCTTTCAATTCATCTCTTTCCCTTTATTTTCTTCATACTCCCTCAAATTTCTTTCTATACTCTCTTTATGCTGGTGATTTCTACCTCTTCATTCTCTCCCCCCACCCAAGTGTATTCTATTTCCAACTCCTATTAAAGAGTTTAGACCTGAATTTTCTGTTGCCTTCTGAATATCTGTGTATGAATGTCCCACCAGCACCTCAAACTCTACATGTTCAAACCTGTACTCATTTCTTCCTCAAACCAACAGACATTTAATTCACCACTGGGCCTGTAAGCAAAGCCTTCCCAGCTCTGTAGGACCTAACAGATTGTACACCCCAGGCACAGCCTTTGAAACTGAGGACTGGATCTACCCTATGGGGTGGTTTATAGAGAAGTATTAGCAATTAATAAAAGTCACACTTCAATTTATTCCTACTTCAACACTTTTAAGATAGGGTTTTGGAAGGATTTAGAAGATTTTATTCTGCCTATCCAGTTGCACCGTAAAGTGGAGAGTTGCAGAAATTACAGAGAACATTTTAGGTTGCAACCAGTCATCTACAATCCTGAAGTTCCTTTAGCTGGTTGGTTTTATTTGGTGATTGTCACGAGGGCTTAATTTTACATTACACTATGTTTTAGGAGACAGTCAGTCAGCAAGAATTTATTAAGTGAATACTGTGTGCCAGGCACTGTGCTAAGTTCTGGGGATGCAAAAAAGAAAAAAAAAAGCCTGGCCTTGCTCTCAAGTTGCTCACAGGAAATAACATGAAAACAGTTATGCACAAACAAGATAAAGACAAGATAAATTGGGGTTAATCAACAGAGAATGTGGACTATTATAAACACTGGGCCTTTTCTGGAATAAATTGAGAAACTCAATTGTCTCTTAAGGAGTCTAGAGACTAAGGTCAGGCTACATAAATTCTCTTTATTATTATTGCTAATCGGAGGGGACCTTAGGCTAATTTCATAGAGTCCTACATCTTGGATTCTATCCTTGAGACTACGTTGATCCTGTTCTAGCCTTCAGAGGTATAAAGATAAGTTGTTTATTTTCATTTGTTTGTTTGTTTATTCATTATTCATAAATCCTAAGTGATTCGGTGCTTTGTGAGTTTCATAGTACTAAGAATTTAGCTAGTGGGCATTTTAAACACACTACATTTTATTTTGGATAACGCATTCTGCATTGGCAATTGTACAATGGTTCTCCATATGAACCTCAAGTGAAGATACAGAGGAACTTTCGTCACCTATACAATCCCAACATTCTCTTATTTGGGGTCATCTTCCCAATCACACCAACATAGCGGGAATGTGCCACAACATGGCTGAAGCCATGGTTTCCAGATGTTATTAAAAGTGCTGAGCTGCTGCGGAACTGGTGTTAGTGTAACCCTGTGTTCTTGTACAGCATGTTCTACTCTTTCAATTACTGAACCAATCAGGGGCTCAGTATCAGGTGAAAGGGGGTTAGCCTCAGAAGGATCCCTTGAGAGATCAAACACCAAAGGTGGGTCATGGTGAGTTACGCCCTTTCCAAAACACGGGCAAACTCCTCTTCCATAGCAAGCACCAGAGCCCTCTGGGTGGAATATTGGGGTCACATAATGTACTTTCCACACTGTACCACCTGAAAGAAGAAGAAGAAGGATTCAGAGTTTGAAGGTGTGGCTCAGAGAGCATTACTGATTCTATAATTTATTCTCATCTAACTCATTGATATTACTGGAAACCACTTAAAGATTTTCATTCAAATTTCAATGCTTAAGAAGGGGAAGCATGGTGGAGTTGAGAGACAGTCATTCATAAATCCAGGAAGCTTGTTGTTGTTCAGTCACGTCTGACTCTTTGTGACCCCTTTTGGGGTTCTATTGGCAGAGATAGCTAGCATGGTTTACTATTTCCTTCTTTAGTTCATTTTCTAGATAAGGAAATGTGAGGCAAACAGGGTTAAGTGACTTGCCCAGGGTCACACAGCTAGTAAGTGTCTGAGGCCAGATTTGAACTTAGGAAGATCAATCTTAATGACTCCAGGCCAGGTACTTTATCCACTGTACCACCTAACTGCTCTAAATCCTGAAAGATCTAGATTCAAATCACACATCTGTTACATCCTCACTACATTACCTTGGGCAGTTTATTTAACTTCTCAGTGCTCTAGGTCAGTCTCTTAGACCAGGGGTGGGGAACCTGCAGCCTTAAAGCCACATGTGGCCTTCTCGGTCCTTGGGTGTGGCCTTTTGACTGAGTCCAAGTTTTACAGAACAAATGCTTTTGTTAAGGGGATTTGTTCTGTGAAGTTTTATTCAGTCAAAGGGCTCCACTTGAGGACCTAGAAGGCCACATGTGGCTTTGAGGCCACAGGCTCCCCACTCCTGTCTTAGACTATAAATTAAAGAGAAAATGCTAACCTGAATAGGTAGAAGGGTTTTTCTCACCTAGTAGTTCCCTATATCCATGAAATTATATGTCCAATGAATTAACGGGAATAGAAGAAATATCAGTTCTCCAGCTTTTCATGTAAACAATTATTTTTGCAAAATTCTGAATATCTTCTAAAGCTGTTACTACTCCTACTGAATTTTTAGAGCTTTGAACAGAGAACATCTTCTACTTACTGTCCTTTTGATGCCACCGAACTGCATGCAAATATGCATCACAATAATGAAACATGAATTCATGATGCACTTGATGAACTCCTTGAAGTAGAGGCATCAGGTCTCGGCCGTCAATCACTCTGAGGGAATAGAAATAATGGTACTAGGCCTGAGCTGCACAGTGTGTTCAAACATTTCATCCAGTGCAGCAGCATGGCATAGTAGGTAGAGAGTTGGGCTTTTAGTTAGGAGATCCTGGGTTAAAATCTCCCTTCAGACACTTACTAGCTGTGTGACCCTGGCCAAGTTATTTAGCCTCTTGTTTCTGTCTCTTTCTCTGTAAAATGAGTGATAGGACTTGATAATATCTTATGTCCTTTCCAGTTCTTAGACTTAGTCTCTACTCATGAGGAAAAGATTAAATCAAATATCAAAGGTCACTTATATTTAACTAGAAACTAAGGCAAGGTATTACAAGCATTTAAGGAAGTGATTCACATAATTTACCTCCAGCACCACTTTTGACTAAAATATGTTTCAGAGGGAATAGAAAAAACAACAACAACAAAACCCCCCAAAATGGCCTAAATTATTTTATTTACAACATGTTTCTGAATATGATTCTTGCCTTCCACTTAACTGAAAATCATTGGATATTTTCTTCCCGTGTGTGTGTGTGTGTGTGTGTGTGTGTGTGTGGGTGTGTGTGTGGTGGGTGTGTACATGAATGTGTGTTCATTGAAAACAGGACCTTTATCTGTTTTTGTATTCCCATGAACTAGCATGGGATCTTGAAGATGGCAGGCAGGTAATGTATGTTTATAGAGTGGAATTGCTTTAGTCAAACTGCTCCTCTACACTTGTTTCCTCATCTGTAATGACGATTTGTTGAATCCTAAGGTCCCCTCCGATTAGCAATAATAATAAATAGAATTTATGTAGGGCTTTAAAGTTTGCAAAGTACTTTACAAGTGTTATCTAATATAGCCCTGGGAGTTAGGTCCTATTAATATCCCCATTTTACAGATGAGGAAACAGAGGTTAAGTGATTTGCCCAGAGTTACATAGCTAGTGTGTGTCTGATTTGAACTCAGGTCTCCCTGATTCTAGGGCAAAGACTCTATCTACTATGCACCTTGCTGATTAAAACAATGATTATATTGCAGAATAGATCATTTAGCCTTAAATTTTTTTATGAATGCTTGTGTCTTAATTAGACTCATCTAACTCTAGAAATCTCTCATAAATTCAGGCAAATATACAAAATAGGTAATCATAGCTCTTCAGCTTTCTCTTAAAAGATTAATATAGTGGGTACTATATCTCACACCCTTTCAATGTTGATATTAATTCACATGAATGCAATTTTTCACAAGTTAAAATTAAGACAAGCATGGATGTTCCTTTTGCAAATGATATGGAATGAATTATACATAAAAATTTCTTTACCTATCTTGGGGCACTTCACCCCTCCCAAATGTGTCACTGTTGGGTAGATATCCATCAGGCTTGTAGGTTCATCAATCGCAAAACCTGCTGGCAAGACTCCAGGCCACCGCAATATCCCTGGGACCCGAATGCCACCATCCCAGCCTCCCATGCCTTTGCCTCCTTAGTTTAATTTAATAAGACAAAATTTATGATTAAAAAAAATAGAAAAGTGACAATGTGTATAAGTATGATAACTTTTGTTTTAAGAGAAACTTTACCACAATATTTGGTTTCATCTGAGGAGGAGGTGGCATTAAAAAATATCTTTTTGGGGGAGGAGAACTCATTTGAACCAAGCATTTAAACAAATGGGAATTTCAGTTTCCATTGTTGGTTCTCAATCCTTTTAAGATTTAAAAATACTTTTCTAAGTACCAAGATGATTCACTATTAATCTTACGCTATTATTAGCTTGTTGATACCTTTCTCAGGATTATATTTTACATGCTTGTGCTTGTATCTGAGAGAAATATGCTCAGTTAAATTACAGAATAATGATTTGTGAAGTTTTGGCTCTAATCATTCTTTTACATATTTTCTTCAGGATCAACTGCAAAATCTTCTGTTTGGTTTTTGAAGCTCTTCATAACCTGGTCCCTTCCTACCATTCCAGTCTTCCAACACCTTATTCTCCTGCAAGTAGTCTGTGATCCAATGACTCTGACCTCCTTGCTGTTCTTAGAACAAGATACTCCATCTCTCTACTCTGTAAACTTAAATTGACCATTTCCAATGCCTGGAGTTCTCTTCCTCCAATTCTCTGTCTCCTGCTTCCTTGGTTTCCTTCAAGTCCCAACTAAAATCTCAAATTCTGTAAAAAGCTTTTTTACTAATCCCTCTTAATATTAGTTCCTTCCCTCTGTGATTATCTCTGAATTATTCAACATAGTTGTTTGCATGTTGTCTCACCCATGGTATGTGAACTCCTTAAGAGCGTGTATTCCCCCCCACCTTGGTATCTTCAGTACTTAACACAGTGTCTACCATATACTAGGTACTTAATAAATTCTTATTGACTTGACTAATTGTAGCACTTTCTAGTTCTATATTATTTTTTCACATAATCTAAACATTTCTTTGTATTCTATTTACCTTCTCTTCCTTCATTTTTCTTTCACTTTTACTGCAATTGGTTCTTCTCTGTCTTCTTAGTACATTCATGCATGTATCTCTCTCTGAATTTTTTCATACACAATGAGCATTCTATTATTTTAGGGTGCACTTGAAGTTAGTGCCGGGAAGGACCAGAAACTCATGATTTCTCTACCTTTGTCATCATTTGTCCAACCCTTTGGGAATAACACTTGCATCTCTGTGTCTGGGGAGATCATCTCTTTCAAAATAATATATCAAAGTCTAGAATTTTTAAGCTTTTATTCTGATGTGGTGACTTCTTTATTAAGTTCTACATCTTTTGTATGTTCAATGTACATAAAGCACTCTAGTGGAATCAGTAAGTTGCCTCTTTACTTCCATTGTCCAAATGCAAAATAAAAATCAGAGAGTACCACATCAGGATCCCTTGAACAATTACACAGATCCATTTCCTATAGTCTCTCCAAACAAGTTTTCCCTTTTCAAGTGAGGGAGCTGTGGAAAGCTGAGCAGGCATTGCTCTCCCACAGAAACAAATGTCTGAGAATGAATTAATATGAGAAGGCCCACCTTTATATATTCCATTCCAGCCACCATGCTGTTCATTTCCTATTTGGGACTCTAAAGACCCACCATTGTCAGAGGCAAAATAAACCAGCGTACTTTTGGTCAGGCCTTCATTGTCCAAAGTCTCAAGAACTTCACCTAAGGAGAGGAATTATATTTGAGCTGATTAGACAAAAAGAATATTATGTAGTAAGAAATTCAATAGAAATGTAGTATTTTAAAAATACCAGTTAGAAGTAATTTCTAGTTTTAAAGTCATTGAACTGCCTATTCTTATAAATAAGTATCCCTGATTCCAAGTCTGTAACTTATAGTTTCTTTTGACTTATTTTGGAAAGCTACCCATATGAGAACTGCGAGTTATTTTGCTTCTCAAAATTCAGAAATCAGTAAATAAAATTTTATCCTGAAATTAAATCAGATTAGTGTAGAGAAGAAGAGAATCAAGGAAGAAGGTAGGGTGCTATCACATTTCCTTTCCAGTTGTGAAATTTCTTTAAGGATCCTGACTGTTGAAAAAAAATTTTTTTGATGTTTCCTCTATTTCTTATTTTGTTTTAATTTAAATGGTAGAAAAGTAGTTTAATATTGGCTAAATTTTGAGCTCAGGGCTGCTAGCTAGGTGGCACAGTAGTAGAGTGCCAGGTCTGGAGTCAGGAAGACTCCATGAATTCAAATCTGGCCTTAGACACTTACTATTTGTGTGATCTCAGTCAAGTCACTTAATTATGTTTGCCTCGGTTTCCTCATCTATAAGATGACTTGGAGAAGGAAATGCAAACCACTCCTGTATCTTTGCTGAAAAAACATTAAATCACGAAGAATCGTATACAACTGGACAAAAACAAAATTTTGAGTTAAGCAGAGTGATGGTATATTGCCCCATGTTTCCTTTCGTTAATATTCTATTTTCCCCTCTTTGTTTCACTGCTGAATGTCTGGAAAAAGTCCACATTGCTGCATCCACTTTTCCAGTTCCCCTGAAATAGGGCTTCTACCCCCACCACTAGTGAAACTGCATTTTCATTAGTGGAGAAAGGATCCAAGCCCAGGACTGAGTCCTATTCCACACCTACAGGTAGCAGAAGAACAGAGGCTTCATGCTAAATAAGTAAGGTGTAGTCTATCCTTGAAATAGAGATGTGTTTACACATTCACTCATCCATTTATTAATTTAACACAGATTTACTGACTGAGCAAAAAGTTATAGAATTGTAGAAGTCTCCTGAAGACTATAAATAGTCTTAATTTGAGGTATTCTTAATCTGAGGCACATTTCAGGGCATCTGTAAACTTGAATTGGAAAAATACATCTTTATTTGCATTAACTTCTCAAATCAATCAATCAATAAACATTTATTAAGCACCTACTAAGTAACAGGTATTGTGCTAAACACTGGGGAGATTGAGCATTTCCTTTAATTATGAATATAGGCAACAATAATTCTTCTGAGAAGGGGCCCATAGGGTTCACCAGATTGCTGAAAGGACCTCTGTTTCAAAGGCGCACTAGCCTGACCAAAATCGACCTAATCAGATACTTGTTGAGACAACTAGTATGGTGGAAAGGCATTGTCCTGAGAATCAGGAGTGATGTATTCTCGTCTTAACTCTGTAACAAACTATTTTGCAAACAGCTCTGTTATCTTCCTGAAATTAATTCTTCTATTTATTTTCTTGTGTGCACACGAATGCTAAACTCTGTAACTTATTTACTTTCCTTTCAATTAAGGGGTAAGGAGAGTTTTATTGAATGTGAAAGAATACAGGGCCCGAAAAGGCTTGGAAGCTCCTAGACTACTGGGGCTTACGGTCCATTTGAGCTTTGATATTTTACTGTTTTGAGACCATAGTTTCAGCTCTGGGAAAGTCAAAGTCCCAAAGCAGAGGCCTGCCTGAGTGGCTCAGAACTTGAAAACTTGAAAAACAACTTGAAAACTGCTTAAATCTCAAATGTGAAATTTGCATCTAAATTTGCACCCAGGGAATAGGGCTGGGGTTCCTACCCCTCTGTTGTCTGGTGATTGGTGATTGTAGACTTCTCCTCTCTCTTACCTCCTCTCTAAGCTCATTCCTATTGTTCTCTGGGGCTCTGAGAAGAGATAAACTTTCTCACACAGGAAATGGATCTCTATCACCTCTACAGATCAAATACCAAATTATCTATTTGGCTTTCAAAGCCCTTCAAAACCTAGCCTAGGCCACCACTTATTCCCTTGCTCCACCTGCCCCCCCCCCCATACATTTCCATGAACAAAACACTACCTCTCATTTTCTTTTTTTCTGTTTTTTTTTTTAAATCTTTTTGCTAAGCAATCAGGTTAAGTGACTTGCTCAGGGTCACACAGATAGTAAGTGTCATGTGTTATGTGTCTGAGACCAGATTTGAACTCAGGTCCTCCTGACTCCAAGGCCAGAGCTCTATCCACTGCACCACCTAGCTGCCCCTACCTCTCATTTTCCAGATATTTTCTTGAGCTGTTCGCTCTCCAGCCCCCACTCCAATCCCCAGCCCAGAATGTTTTCTTTCCTCACCTTTGTTTCTTGGCTTCCCAGACTAAAATCATGTCTCTGCTTTTTGGGTCTTCAGCCCGTCCCTGATCTCATTTTCCCCCACTATGGAATCTTGATCCTTTTAACCAGTTCAAATTTACACCTGGGAGGCAACTTAGCATAGCAGACAGAGCACTGGATATGGAATTCAATTCTTGCCTCAGACATTTACTAGCTGTATGATAATGGATAGCAAGTCACTTAACCTCTCTCAGATTTAGTTTCTACATCTGCAAAATGTGTATTATAATAATAACATCTACCTCAGAGTTGTAGTGAGGATCAAATGAGACTATACGTAAAGTACAAACCTTAATGCCCTAAATTGTTTTTGTTGCTGTTATTTTTATTATTATTGAATCCTTTGCCCCATTGTCCTATCTTTGGTTATCATTTGCTGAAGTCAAACAATGGGTTATTCCCATTGCTGGGATGATAGGACCTGGATCCCTGAAAGGAAAAGACCATGTCTTTGAAAGAAACACAGTCCTTGAATTTTCCCATGCATTTCAGCAACCCATACATTTCAGAATCACTGGCACCTTCGCCCAAGGCAACTGGCCCACTCACTTTACTTGATATTCCTTTCATTGTAGCCCTTGGCACACACCAGACTGCTTGTAAATACCTACCTCTCCTTATTCCCACCTAGATCACCTAATTAGCCTACTTGATATTACTTTCACTGTTGCACCTGGCCCACCCCAGGCTACTTAACACTCCTAAATTCCCATCCAGATCCTTTCACTGTCCTTTTTGTATATAAGCATCATTCCCTGCCCCCTCCCCAATTAAGTTGCAGGTTCACTAGGAGACCTGCCAGCTTCTATTGGCATTTCAAAAACCTTGTCATTTGATTGGAAAAAGGTTTGATGTATGAACTGACATTTGGGGGTTCCCAGTAATCCCAATATGCATCACCATCAACCTCCCTCTCTTCTGCTCTCTGCAGAATGCTGCTGGAAGAAGTTACATAACATGCAAATGGGTTTCTTCAAGTTTATTTTACCTAATCTCAGCTGAGCTTTTATAATTGTATAATTAATTTTTACTCTTCTCTTATTGGTTCTCTATTGACTCCCCATTACAATTGTTCCAAACCTTTTCTTCTTTCTTCAAGCTACCTACAATCTCCCTCCATATCATTTTCTCAATAAAGGATTTTGCATCATACTTTTAAAAATAGATGTTATTCATCCCTGGCTCTCTGCTCAACAATTTCACATTTGAAATGACCTCAACATTATTCCTCTTTGTTTTTACTTTTCTCCAGAAGATGAGGTGGCCCTTCTCTTTGCTAACATCAACCAATTTGTATTCTAGGTCTTGTTCATTCCTATCTCCTACAGAAGCTTAACCTTTTGATCATTTTTTTTTCTGTTTTTAACATCTTCTTATTTAATGGTTCTGTCTCTTCTGCTCATAAATGGGCCTAGACCTCTCCTATCATTAAAAACAAATAGGTGTTAAATGATTTAGCCAGGATCACACAGTTAGTAAGTGTCCAAGGCTGTATTTGAACTCAGATCTTCCTGACTCCAAGCCCGGTACTCTATCCACTGTACCACCTGTCTGCCATTGAATAGGCATTGCCTCAGTCAAACAGAGATTTGTTAAAGACCTTAGCTTGAACAGGCCAAGCTCCCCCACTGCATCCTGGGCCATCTCCATTTGTCCTGATTTATATCTTGCCACTTGACCCAGCTGGCTCCAGAGAAGAAAGTGATGCTGGTGACTTTGCACAGTCCTCCCTCATTTAAATGCTATTGCACGTTATGGCATCACCTTCCTTATGTCGTGGTCCTCTTTGAGAGCAAAGGACAAACAGCAGGAGAAATAAAAACAAACAAAAATAAGAAAAGACAAAAAAAAACAACAAAAAAACTTTGCTTTATCCTAATGAATGAGATATAACCTCCATGAAGACTTCTCAGGGTGGTGATGAAAAGACTGTTTCAAAATTAGAGATAGGCTCTGAGAGAAGGAACAGGCCATAAGTTTAAATTACCTAAACCTCTAGGAATTTGACCCTAAACTTCCTCCTGATTGTCACACCACTGCCACATCAGCCTTAGATTTGCCAAATAAGAACATGTATGCTTGGATTGGCTATACCCTGCTTCCTTGTTCTTTGTCTTCAGGGAAAAATCTTTCCTGCCTAGAATGTAAGCCAGCCTCTCCAGCCAATGGGAGTAAAGGATAGTGGTGGGTGGAGGCTTTTTACGTTAGGGTATATACTTTCATTCCTTTTTGTGTGACTGGTCTCTCTCCTGCTGGAAGCCTACTGGAGGAGCAGATTGTAATAAAAAGTAACTTTTGCTCCCACCTTGAGAAGTCTCTGAGTTTAATTTGATTTAGAGTCGCTGTGCCATACACTAACATTCCTTCAAACTATTTTCCTTTTGCCTAGAGAAACCTCCTTGAAAATAAACTCCTAGAAAAAGTTACTGACATTCCCATTTGCTGACCTCTCTGATCTACCAGTTTCTACGCTAAAAGCCTACGGGTCTTGGAACACTATATTTTGAAGATCGTAAGAGCTGGGACTGTGACCAAGAATAACTTAACCTAGCAAAGTTCAGTTTCCTGAATGAAAAAAAAAAAGATACTTGACAAACTGAAAGACTTTCAGGTATTTGTTACAAAAAGGCCAGAACTCAACGGAAAATTCAATACAAAAGATTCAGAAAAAATATAAAGAAAATATCAAATACCAATTATAAGGTACTTACTGAGGTCAAACTGTTTTATTTCTTATATGTGAAAATGTCATCAGTATTCTTAAGACTTCATCATCATAAAAGTAGTTTGAAAGAAAGGTTGGGGCTGAGTTGTTTATGATGGGATTATTGCAGTCTAGAGGTTTACCTACTGTTTATGAACATGCCCCAGGGCCTAGTCTTGGGTCCTATCTTCTTTTGTCTTAAGATAATCTAATTAATTTTCATTTATTCAACTACCATCTCTTATCTAGGTGACTCCTAAGTCTATAACTCTCCTAAGTTTCAGTCTTGCATTCCAAAGGCCTGATGAATATCTCCACTTAGATATCCCACAGAAATTTCAACATTTCTAAAACAGAGCTCATTATTTTCCTCCTCAAATCTATCTCTTCTAATTTTCATATTTCTGTATAGAACATCATTATCCCATGTTCCTATCCTAGGAGTAATCCTCTACTCTTACTCCAACTCATTCTTACATCCAGCAAATTGATATTACCTTTTTTTTTTTTTTGGTCTAGGCAATAGGGTTAAGTGACTTGCCCAGGATCACACAGCTAGTAAGTGTTATATTTCTGTGGCCACATTTGAACTCAGGTCCTCCCGAATCCAGGGCTGGTGCCCCTGATGCTGTCTTCTTAACATTGCTAACGTCTATCCATTCCTCTGCACTCATATCACAGTCACTCCAATTCATTACTTCATCTTCTCTGCCTCATACTATTGCAGTAGCTTTCTAACTGAGCTTCCTGCTTTCTGTCTTTCCCTTTTCCAAACAATTTTCCAAATAGAGGTCAAAATGATTTTCCTAAAAAGGAGGTGTTACTATGTCACTGTCTTGCTCAAGATGTTCTGTTTATGTTCTGTTGAAAGAGGACAGAAAACAAAAACAAAAAAACTCTCTTCTGTTCAGTATTTCATACCCTTTGCAATATGGCTTCTAGCCCATCACTCAAGATAGATTTCACAATGCTACCTCCCCCATGCACTTTGTGGTTCAGCTTTAATGAATTACTTTCTATTCTACATTCAAATCATCTCTTACTTAACTGATTTTGCATTGGCTACACCCATATTTGGAATTTTTAAAAAAACCTTTTCCTTATGCAGTACCTAGCTTTTTTCAAGGCTTAGCTCATGTCACCTTCTTTAGGCAGCCTTTCCTGATTCCCAGGGCATTATTTACCCACTACAAATAATTTTATATAAATCTGTTTTTTACTTATCAGGGAACATGTTGTAATCCCTGCTGGCCTATGTGCTTGAAGGCAGAGACTGTCTTACTTTTGTATATATAACCCCTGTGCCTAGTTTATTCCAGGCACATAATTAATATTCAAATGATTATTTGATGATAACATCCTGATAATATTATTATCATCTGTTCATATGGTATGATTGAATTAGAATGGTTGCATATTATCTGAATGTATTGATACAATAGAGATAGTTTGGAGGCACAGTAGCTAGAACACTGAGCTGGAAGTTAGGAAGACCTAAGTTTAAATCCTGCCTCAGATGCTTACTGTGTGATCCCAGCAAGTCACTTAACCTTGTTATGGCCTTAATTTTCTCATCTGTAAAATGTTATGAGGATCAAATGAAATAACATGTAAAGTGCTTTGTAAACCTTAAGACATTAGGTAAATGTTAGTTGTTATTATAATAGTTATTAAAGCTATTAATTCAGTAATGTGTTTGAGCCAACTTGAACTAGCTAGCTAGAATCAGTTGTTAAGTTTTCAACATGAGCATTTATACTTTAGGAATTGGCAAATGCTATGAATCTCATCTTGACTTATTGTATTGTTGTGTGATATAAAAGTCCAAGAGACAGTTTCTGGGTAATTAATCATTTTACTTATTATTGCTAGAGGATAATTAATAAAAGGGATCAATAGTATGCCAGAGTGCCAAAGACCCCTCATGGAACCAACTCAAAGCTCATATGCCCTTGGAAGAGTGGGTGCTCCTGAAGGTGGCAGTCAATTCTGATTGGTTAACAATTAATGAGAAGAGTGAATATTATAATTAAAGGTGGGTTTATTCTAATGAGGAGCTGTGGGACATGACTCTGACTGCTCAGTTTTGAACAAAGAGACATCTCTTATCCACTGCCTAGGGTAATCTAGACAAAATGGACTCCACCTCTATTCACACCTGGCTGACTAAAACACAATTTCACCAATTCACCTAAACTGCAATTTCTTTACCTTTTGATCAGATCGAAACTTTTCCAGCTGGATGCATCTTGCCCAATATTTCATCTCATTATCAGCCCTGCACTTCAAAGGTTGTCTGAATAGCCTACGGAGATTGATTTCTAAATAAGGAAAAGAAATCCAAATTTAACTTTAAATTTAATTTAATTTAACCTTCATCCTAATTTAATAATTGGCCATTAATATAGGAGAGAAATAATCGTTTCTCTCAGTTGATTGTCTAGACTTATGAGAGGGATGAAGAAAATGTTTGCAATTAACTTAAAAGTGTTGTGATTATGTGTATACATACATACATATATATATATATACACACACATATATATATACTATCAGGAAGTCTGTTGGGTATGGGTTCTACAAGCTAGAAAATGCATCTCACAGCGTGAAATGAAAAGAGAGCTCTTTGACATCTATAACACATGTGCCCCCTGTCCTCCACATTGTAGCCACAGTTGTATCCACTGTAATCACAAAGAAAAAGGATTATTGATTTCCCATAGCATTTCTCCTATGTGTGGCTAGAACCTGATTGAAATATAATTGAGGAATATTCAACAAAATAAATAAAAATACAATATAATAGAGATGTCAGTTTGTGGTTTTCTAAATGAATATGCAGCCATAGTGATCTATTCCTATTTGAATTTGCTACCATTGATGTATAGGATATGAATTTGATAGTTGAGGAACAAAATATTTGTACATGCACAAAGAATTTAAATAATACATCTAGCTTAAAGGCATAGATAGCCCTTACCTCTAAGCAATACTCAGTGTTGAGAGAAATATTGATAACCAATGATTTGGGGAGATCCACAGGTACTCCTCTTTCTAAAGTCCTCATTTTCAAAGCTTAGTCTCTGAAGGCTGAACTTTCTCTGCAACCATAGCCAGACCCCATCCAACTTTATCAGGATTCTAATCTTGAGGTGAATTCCTGCCCATTGTGTTCCACTCAAGCAAGTTTGGGTGGAGGTAGGTCCTTTGACTAGGTTGCCCAAGGCTGGGGGTGGGATGTAGAGATAGTCTCTTGGTCTAGGAATGATGTGATGTCACTCTCCAAGCCCCTCATTGGAGTGAGCCTACTTCTCTTTGTGAAGTCCACCTCTCACCTATCCTTTAACCAGAGTTGATTGCCACTCTCGGGAACATCCACTTTTTCAAGGGCATATAATCTGGAAGCCCACTGCCATGGTTGTCTTTGGTCTAAGAGAGACATGGCCAAATGATCATTTTTTTCATTAATAAAATGCTAGCATTATTAAATTAATTACCGAGAAACCATGTCTCTTCAGCTTTTTAAATGTCACAGTGTCACATTAGGAGACTAGGTATCTCCATATTGCATTCAAAATGTTCAAGAAAATATGATGGAAAATTCTTATGGATCTTGATGGATTTGTTGGAATAATTATAATACAAAGATAATAATGATCTGGATTTCATAATCTAAGAGAGAAGTTAAATATATTCAAGTGTTTCAGAACTTTAAAGTTTACTTATACATTTGGCATTATCAAGTATTTAGTAGTTACTTGTATTTTACTTGAATCAATCTACTCTTTCCATCCTTAATATTGTTTTCCTAATTGATTCATTGACTAGATAGCAAGAATAATTTCTATTTGCAAATGTTTACTTACCCACCATCCAGTCCATCTCCTCTACATTATCCCCATATAATCCATGATTGCTACTTTGAAGAAACTTCTCTGCAGTAACAAGTGGTGTGTGTACATGTAAGAAGGAAATGACGAGGAGGAAAGGCCCATGCTTCTTCCTAAAATCAAAAATATTTCATATACATATGCATATATATGTATGTATATACATATACATACATATACATATGCATATATATGTATGTATATACATATACACACACACACAAATACTTTAATTGTAAAAATGGCTAACGAAGTAAAGATATCAAAAGCTGATTTTAATATTTATGTAGATATGTCCAAGCCAATTATTTATATGTGCGCTTTGTTGTTGTTCAATCATTTTTCAATTGTGTTTGACTCTTAGTGACTCCATTGGGCTTTTCTTGGAAAAGATACAGGAGTGGTTGCCATTTCCTTTTCCAGCTCATTTTACAGTTGAGTCTTTAAAGGACTTGTCCATGTTAGAAATCTTGAGCCTATCACCTTCTTTGTATCAGTACAGTCAAACTCAGATAGAAACACATCTCCATTGGCTTAAATTTCTTCATCTGTAAAATTAGTTAGTTATATTAGATTACCTCTAAGGTTCCTTCCCCCACTCAATCTCTGATCATATCAGTTTGTGTGAAGGCATGAGAACCAGCCAAATATATTTTAAATAGTAAAACATACTAATATTTTGAGTACATGTAAGAATGACTTTTAATTTCTCTCTCCATTTCTTGCTTTCAATTCTTTTTTATTACAAAATTTCACTTTCTTTCATTTTCTTTTCATCTTAGAGGGAAGAAGAAACTTGAATCCTTTGGTTCAAATTTTACATATATTTCCATTTCTTAAATATTTGTTCATACCTTAAATCTTGGCCCATAGAATACGCTAGACCATTAAACATTTTACAGTTGTTGATGTCAAGTGCTAGTGATTGTAAGCTGTCAAAAACTTGTTTTTATAATTAAATGCCCATATTCTCTTGTATTAGAATATAGCAATAATACTATAGTGCTATGGCCCAAGGAAATTTTTTTTTAAAGCAGCAAAGATGCTGAATGTACAAAAATATTTATAGCAGGTTTTTTTATGGTATCTAAGAAATGGAAACTGAGAGAGTGCCCATCAATTGGGAAGTGGCTGAACAAATTATGTACATGAATATAATCGGATATTACTGTGCTATGAGAAATGAAGAAAGAAGTATTTCCAATAAAACTTGGAAAGACTTAGATGTAATAATACAAAGTGAAATGAACAGTGACAGAGTATGATTTATACTATAAAATCAACAAAATGAAAGATTTTGAAGGACTTCAGGACTGTGATTAACATAGTTATCAGCCATGATTCCAGCAGATTGATGAATTCTGCCCACCTCCTGTCAGAGAGGTGATAAATTAATATGCACAAAGTAAGGTCCAAATTTTTGGCCATAGTCAATGTGGAAAACAGTTTTGCATGACTGTACTTATTCATTAAAAAAGATTTGTTCTTTTTTTTCCCCCTACAGGGAAGGAAGAAAGGAAATAAGCATTTATTAAATGCCTATCATGTGTCAGGTACTGTGCTAAGTGCTGTCACAAATATTATCTCATTTGATCCTCATATCAACCCAGAGAGGTAAGTGATATTATTATCCACATTTTACAATTGAGAAACTGAGGCAAATGGAGGTTAATTGACTTGCCCGAGGTTAGACAGCTACTAAGTTTCTGAGGCTGGATTTAAACACACATTTTATTCCCAGTGCCAGCTAGCTACCTGGGAGGAGAGAGTAAGATGAGAAAAAAATGAGTGCTTGATCATTGAAAAAAAAATTTATTTTAAAAAAGATTTAGGGATAGGGACTGAACCTGTAGTTTCAATGATATAGGGAAACCTGAGATAAGGAAAAAATATTTCTACCAATGCATGTTAGTACCTTCTCTTCAATTAATAGTCTTGGAGTGTTACTTAGAATACTGAGAGGTTTAGTAGTATGTGCTGGTTCACTTAGATAGGATATGTCTGAGTCAGGGCTTGAACAACAACAACAATGAAAGAAGACAGCAATTACAATAAGCATTTACATGGCACTTGAAGGGTTGCACAGGACTTCACAAGGATTTTCTCATTTTGTCTTCAAAACAACCCTGGGAGGTAGGTCTTATAATTATCCCCATTTTATTGGTGAGGAAAGCAGGCAGAGGTAAGTGATTTGGCTAGGGTCATACAACAAGTAAGTGTCTGAGGTCAAATTTGAACTCAGGTCTTACCACCTTATGGACACCAACTTCAAGGCTTACTGTTCATACACTATACACAATGCCTCTCTATATAGTATATATATATATATATATATATATATATTATATATATATATATATATATATATATATATATATATATATATATATATATATATGTGTGTGTGTGTGTGTGTGTGTGTGTGTATATATATACACACACATATATATTATATATATACATATTATACACACACACACACACACACATATATAATTGTACATAGTATATGGAACTATTCTAAACTTTTTATTCAGTTCTCTATCCATTGTCGATATTATATTTCTACAAAGAAGAGAAGTTGAACTATTTATTATTTTCTATCCCACAATTTTCTGGACATTTCTTTATTACTAAATTGTCTCTATAGGGCAGCTAGATATGACAGTGAATAGAGCACTCTTCCTGAGTTCAAATCTGACTTCAGACACTTACTAGCTGTGTGACCCTGGGCAAGTCACTTTACTCTGTTTACCTCAGTTTCCTTATGTGCAAAATGAGCTGGAGAAGGAAATGGCAAACCACGCTAGCATCTTTGCCAAGAAAACCCCAAATTGGATCACCATCACCAGAGAGTCAGATGTTACTGAAAATAACTAAATGAAAACAAAAAACCAAAACTGTTTCTTGTTGGCACACAAGGTCCACATTTGTTGGCACCATCATGGACCTAGCACAAGAACATACAGCATGAATATAAGAACATAAATTCCATTCTGTGTCATGATTAAATGCCTGTTTGACCCCCTTTCAGTGAACTTTCCTATTCCATTTAGTCTTTGGAATACTTTAACCTTGTTTTCCTTTTTGAACACCTAAAACTTGGTTTCATAGGTACAAAGATTTAGAACTGAAGGGCTGTCAAATCTCGTTTAGCCCAACTTTTTTTTTTTTAAGAGTCCGGAGAAACAAAGGATCTTACATCACACAGTCAGTAAGCTGACCATAACACAATGTTTCTAGAGAAATAGTATGGCGTAGAAGGATGACTTGAGTCAGCAAAAAACTGCTTCAGCCAAAGCTTGAAAAATTGTAATCTACATCCAATTTATGCTATATATAAAAATATATATAAGTATATACATATATAAAAGTATATATATAGATACAAAAGTATATATATGTATATATCACTGTGTGTGTGTATCTATATCTATCTATATAGCCAAGGCACTTTCATGGTGGAAAAATTATTTACTTCCTAAAACTATATGCACTGTTCTATTTTTCACGTACCTGGCTAACTGGTATAATGTAGACACTATTCCGTTGTTATAGCTTACCTTTCAATAAATGAAACTGCTTCTTTCAGTATAAGGGAGGTAGTTCTTTTGAAGATCATGGGTTGCTCTGTAATAGTGTGGTTTCGCATCAGAAAACAGTCCCCGTACTTAATCAAGATATAAAGGAAGTGCCATGTCAGGAAAAGTAGGAAACCAATGATGGCAATGCCTATCGTTATCTTCCATGGAACTGGCAATATGCCAGTGAACCTACCAATGGTAAATGTGAATATAGCCAGGACTATGATCTGAATATAAAAGTAAAGTCTCATCTCTAGATTTGCACGCTTCTCAGATAGTGCTGAATATTCACAATCACCCATTAAGGAAAATGGCATTCCATAAAAAAAGTCAAAACCATGGTTCAATGGATGATGACAGTGATCAGTTCTGATTCACAATTGAGTCCCAGGTGCCATTTTCCTGAAAATTGAAAGTTAGATTGTTAAAACTGATTCTATTATCATGACTGATATCTGTAATGGTTACTGTTTTACACTATAATCGTGGTCATCTTGTTCAACTCAAACACCTTAATAAGAATGGAAGTTATCCCTGGATTCTTCAAACTCTGACAGGAATAGAAAGGCCAGAAATTATGACAATTTTTTAAGTCATATATCTCCTATCTGGGGAATCTTAGATTATTTCATGAACATTAATTAACTTTTGTCTTATTAAATTTTTAAAAAGTCCCTGAAATGATTTCTTTAACTGAACCTCCACAGCTGTAGGAAGTCAGGTAAACTATTAACGTTGCTATGTTATTCACCTCCAGTGAGAGAACTGATGAACTCTGAATGCAGACTGAAGCATAGTTTTTTCACTTTATTTTTCTTGCCTTTTTTCTTTTTTGCAACATGGCTAAAGTGGAAACATGTTTTTTATAACTTCACATGCATCACTTGACTTTTCTATGAGTTGAGAAGGGGCAGGAGGGAGAGAATTTAATACTGCTATTATTTTAAAAAAAAGAGAGCAAATTCTGAGAAGAAGCAGAGTTTTGTCAAAATAGAAACTCAAAAAAAATTATTAACATTGTTAGTGAAAACATAATTGGTTTAAACATTTTATTTTTGTTTGTTTGTTGTTTTGCAGGCAATTGGGTTTAAGTGACTTGTCCAGGGTCACACAGCTAGTAAGTGTCAAGTGTTTGGTCTGAGGCCAGATTTGAACTCAGGTCCTCCTGACTTCAGGGCCAGTGTTCTATCCACTGCGCCCCCTAGCTGCCCCAGTTTAAACATTTTAAAAACACATTTGGAACTGTTCTAGAAAAGTGACTGAATTGTTTATACATTTTGATGCAACTAAGTCTGGTAAGCATATACCCTAAGGAGATCAGGGATAGAGAGGTAGGTTCCATGAATAGCAAAATATTCATAATAACATTTTTTGTGGTAGCAAAAATGGGAAATAATGTAGGTGCCCACAAAATGGGAAATGGTTAGATTGTAGCACATAAAAGTAATAGAATATTATTATCTCCTAAAAAGTAAATATGAAGAATTTATGCAAACTTGGGAAGACTTGAATGAACTGATACAGAGTATAGTAAGTAACCAGAGAGTAATATACATGATGACCAAAATAGGCAAAAGGAAAAATAACACTAAAAAAAATAGAATTCAGATCACCACAATGACCAATCTTAGCTCCAGAGAACCGATGATAAATCAGATCTTCCTTTTGTCAGATGAGTGTTAGCAGTCTCTGCATATAGAATGAGGAATGTATTGTTAGGCTTAATCTTTGTGCCATTTTGTTTTACCTGGCTATACTTCTTTGATACAAGGGAAAGGGATTTATAAAGGGAATGTAAAATTATAGCACTTCTCAAAAAAATTAGCAACCCTTTGAAATGAAAGCCCTAGCAAAATTTCCAACTCTTGCTTTGAAAATTTTGCATGCCAGTTCAAGCAGTGGGCTTGAGGTGGACAAGTGATCTCTCAGAGTAAAATCTTTGTTGCTGTTGTTGTTGTTATTATTTTTCAGTCATTTTCAGTTGTCTCCGACTCTTTGTAACCCCATTTGGGGTTTTCTTGGCAAGGGACTGGTTTGTCTTTTCATTCTCCAGCTCATTTTACAGATGAGAAACTGAGGCAAATAGAGTTAAGTGACTTGCCCAGGGTCCCACAGCTATTTAGTGTCTGAGGCCAGATGTGAACTCAGGAAAATCAATCTTCCTGATTTCAGGCCTGATAGTCTATTCACTGAGACATATGAGCATGAGAGTTCAATGGCTGCTAGTTTTATCGTCCTTACCAATGGAGATAGCCCCTACTGGACATGTAAGAGATGCTTAATAAATGCTTTATGGACAGGAAATTTCAAACAATTTAGAGATCCTGTTTAATACTATGACTGTGCTATATTTTAGTTAGTATATGCAGGCATGCAATGATGATTACGAACAGTGAACCACTCTTCCCCATCTTTGCTGGCCTTATTTTCTGTAGGCTGCCCTATTGTGATTCATAGAAAAAAAGTAATTTAGTCACAATTACTGCATTGAAGTTTCAATGTAGCCATCTTGCTTCCATATGGGGAACTTTATTATGAATGATTCTTATGAGCCTAAGGGTATACATAGACATATGGGTAAACACATAAATTTAAGATTTTAAATGATATTACTTATGATACCTTGACATGTTTTATTAAAGGATTCTCACACTTAAAATTATATTCTTTTGTTTCAAATGTTAGACTTTCTCTAAACTGTAATATAATGGATGCCTTCAAAAATCTACATACCTATTAGTCCAGTAGCATAGCCTTCTTTTTGTAGTATCTTTGCAAAAGTTGTTTCATTGGAAGGGAGCCCTCCAGATGCCGCAGTCCATTGAAGAACAGGAAGGCCATTATAGGAAGCCATGCCTTAGATGAATATAGTTTATAAAGAACATGATACTTTTAAAAGAGTAATTTGTTTCTTATTGTTTAACATAAACTACTAATAAAACCTTGATAAATATTGCAAACCTATCAGATTTAATGATTCACTTACTATTTAGTTTTTGACAAGGAGAAAAAAAACAGTTGACATATTTAAAATGATAACATTGTCATGATTTAAATAATTCATAAAAATATGGTCCATAAATCAATTGTGTGTAAGAATTAGAATATGAATGTTTTACATGTGTTCAAATTTCACTTGACTCAGTATTATATGTAAAACAAACCAACAGATGCTGCATCATACCATAGAAAGAGTCCAATTTCTATTATCAAAAGACCTGAATTTGACTTTTACTAGCTCTGTGCCTTTGGGTAAGTTATTTGTTCTCTTTGTGTCTCAGTTTCCTTATCTACAAAATTTGGATTGTTTCTGAGGTCCATCTCAGATGTAGAGCTATGATGCTAAATTATCTTGGTGTCTAAACTACTTCTTGATTGGAATATACAACTTCGAGATCAATGATTCTTTCAGGCAGCTAAGATTAAAATGAAAGTCATGAGACTTGGGTTATAGCCTTGGTTCTAATAAACTAGTAATAAAATCTTAGGAGAGAACAATTATTATAGAATATCACAATAGATATAACACAGTGTGGATAGGAATATTTGAGCAGGGCTTCATAGATGGGGTAATGCTTCATCTCTCTGGGAGTTAGTTTGCTCAGCTGGAAAATTAGTTATTAGATTAAATGATCCTAAAGGTCCTTTGCCAATCTAAACCTATATTATTTTTATGAAGTGTCTGAATGACCTAAGAAGTAAATGTAGAATCCAAAGATAGATATAGACAATACTTAGAAAATGGGAAAAATTGACTAAATATGAAAAATGAGTTTTATTATTTTCTCATGTACACTATTTGATGGAATGTAATATCCTTGAAAGCAGCAATTGTTTCTTTTCTTTTTTCCTTTGTCTATTCAGCAACTATCATAGGGACTAGTACATAGGAGCTTAATAAATAATTGTTGATTGATTGAGCCTCTATGTTTCACAATGGACTCATTTTTTCCCTAGTGTCTCACCTAATTCCATGTGTCACTTTAAATATTTATTGCTGCTCTCCAATTCTTTCATGTCATAACATTTATTTTGTAACATAAAACCTTATTAACATAGTTGGAATCAGTACCCCAGGCCAGTCTTATTTTGTTGTGTTGTTTTGTTTGACATCAGTGAAAAGGGCAACAAGAAGAAAATATGGTAAAATTTATTCAGTGGGAAAGTATGTTGTCTCTTTGGAACAATGAATGAAAAACATTTACTCAATTTATAATTTTTCTTTTAATGTTGCAATAACAACTTAGATTACTATGTCCTCTTAACTGGACCTTCCTTGATTTCCTTGTTTGTACTTTCCTCTTTCAACATTGTATTATTCCCCATTTGTCTTTCAACTCTATCACCCTTAAATCAACTCTATCACACTATAAATTCATCAGCTATACTCAGTTTAGATGGAGAACACGGTTATGGCACAGCCTATCATGTATTATGGTTCTATTCCATCCTTGTAAAATAAATAAAATTCCTTTCTTAAGCCAGATAAAAAATTCAAAGAACTAAGTCAATTTTTCAATGCATAAATGATACTCTAGAAGTCTTGGCAGCTTAAGAAGGCTCATTGTAACTACAGAGGCTAACATTTAACAAAATTGTATATCAAAGCAGAAATACTCTGGGTCTTGGAATAGAGAAGTATGGAGATGCCAGAATAATTGAACTGGGAGAAATTTTCATGATCACAGCAGAACAAGAATTGATGGGAATTTTTGGTGAGTCCAATTTACTTTTGTGGAAACTGCTTTCATTGTGATGGGTTGGTAAATTGGTGTGACCTGCTGCTAAGAGCTATATACTGTCTGTGTTAGATTAAATCAATGGAAACACTCAGTCCCATTTCATTCTCAAGCACTCAAGGAGATTATTAAACTTTAAACAGTTTCTTCACGGTCCTATAGGAATAACAATGTAATCTTTACTAGGAAGCAGAGACAAAACGATTAACAGTTCCTAGAAGCAATACATTGAATTGCAGTTGAGACATACTAGGATTTAGAACTGGAGGGGGTCTTAGAGCTCATTCAGTACAACTCTCTTATTTTATACATGAGGAAATGGTGCCTCAGAGAGCTTAAGCAATTGGCCCAAGATCATACTATTAAATAACTACCAGAGCTGTGAAGCAAACCTCAGTTTTCTGATGTCAAATTCACAGTTGTTTTAATTATTCCACACTAATGCTATTGCTTGTCAAAAAATGGAAAGAATTTAAGACTAATGGATATAAATTTTGGATAGTAATTATAGGCATGCCAAAAATAAAAATAGTTTTTTTGGTAAGATTATTTTGAAATGACTGAATTTAAAAGATCTAATAATAACATGAATTCTGAAAGAAAAAAAGGAAATGAACATTGGAAAAATTCTATTGCACATTCAGTTTTATATCAGGGTATAAGAATCGTATTTTGATCACAGCTTTTAAAAATTTTGGTATTTCCAAATATTCAAGAAACTAGTTCTTTAATGAAAATTTTAAATAACATATAAAAAAGGATAAATGGGAAGTATAGATGCTGTGATAATGTAAGAAAGTTTCTAACCTGATCGAATAGGGTATCTTCCAGTTAAGAAAGCAGCTCTACTGGGGGTACAAACAGAAGCTGCTGCTATGTGCTGAGTAAGTTTCACCCCTTCATTGGCAAGACTGTCAATATTTGGTGTCCTAATAAGAAAAAAATGATACGGTTTAACTCATTTTAAAGTGAAATATAAATTATATACATTTGCAAAGTAAAAAAAACTATTGAATTTGTTATATTTTAAAATATTTGTATATAATAAAAGCATCTTATTTACCAGAGACCTCTTAACCAACACTTTATATATTCATATAACAATTTAAGTCATTGATGATGACAGAACTCTGAAGCATTGCAATTTCCTATAACATAATCCCAATCAAAAAATATAAATTCAACTCAAATATTTATTAAAATTTTTTAATAGATTAGTAAACTTAGGCCTTCCCTTTATCAGTGTAGATCTCAATTTGTTTAAGACTTTGTCTAAATGCTTTTGAGGGATGCATTTTTTAAAAATTTATTATAATTTGTCTTTGAAACGTTTGTCTGTGCAGCTTGAATTGTCTGGTTCACTGTCTAACCATTCCTTTCATCTTCTGGTACGTTGTGTATACATCAAGTGAAGCAGAGAATTAAATCTTTCTTACTTACCTTATTGTATTATTACCATAGCAGCCTACGTCTCCAATACCAAGATCATCGGCTAGTAACAGAACAATATTTGGCTTGAAGTCAGCTAAACAATTTGATTTTGATGGTTTCAAAATCAGAAATGTCAGCAGTGTAATGGACAGAGAGGTCCTGAAATACAAAATAAAGAAAATATAACCCAGAGATGAGCTCATTCCAGCTCTAAAAACCAATTTTTTAATAGTCAGTATGAACACTTACATCTTAGAAACTAACAAATGCTAAAAATTAAGGTTTGATTTATAGTTCTGCTCATTTATAGACTTAAGAAAGTAATGGAGAAAATGTTAATTATGCAGATTATACTTCAAAGTGTCTTTTATTTGGGGGGGGAGGGAAGGGGAGCTGGCCATTCAATATTTACAAGTATATCATTGAAAAATCCCACTTTCTGTAGGGACTCCATTTCCCTAAAAAAAGTGTGTGTTGTGTGTGTGTGTGTGTGTGTGTGTGTGTGTGTGTGTGTGTGCGCGTGCATGTGCGTGTGACTGGTAATTTTAGAATATAGAAAAGGTTGAAGTATCTCTTGGACAAAATGAACATGTATATAGTTTGGGGCAACACATTTTAGGAAGGACATTGACAAATCAAAGTGCATTTATATGAGAATGATCAAGATGGAGACTGGAGAACAGGCTGTATATGGCTATGTTAAAGGAAATTAGAACATTTAGATTAGAGAAAATAAGATTTTGAAGGAACACTGTAGCTGAACTCAAATGTTTTGTAAGATAACTTGTGGAAAATGGATAAGATTAGTTTTGTTTGGCTTCTGAGGGCAAAACTATAAGTAACAGACTTTGCATGGAGGTAGATGGGCTTAATATAAGAGTGACAAAATTACAATTTAGGTATCAAATAATTTTAGGTATCAAAATGTAGACTGGGCCATTTCAGGAGGTAGTGGATTCCCTCTCCTTCTTAGAAATCTAATGAAGATGGGGGATTCACTTCTCAGGAATGTTGTAAAAGTGAGCCCTGTTCAGATGCTAGTCAGTCCTCCTGTACTCTGAATACCTTTCCAAATGTGCAATTTCATGAATGTTTTATGTGTGTATGTATTCTAAACAAAGTGTAAAGCTTATATGAACTGAAACCAATGAAGTAAGCATAACCAAGAAAAAGATAGACACAATTACTACAACCATGTAATTAGAAAGAACCAAAACAAAAACACCACACAAAAATGGATGTCTTGAAATTATAATGATGAAGCTTGGCCTTAACAGGGGTGATGTTAAAAATGTATCTTCCACTTCTTTCTTTACAAATGTGGGGAACTGTTGATGTGAAAAAACAAAACAAAACAAAACTGTGGATGTTAAAAAACCCCTATGGATGTAAAAAAAAAGCACCACATATACTATCAGACTCATTTTACACATGTTAGTTGTGTTGAATCTCTTTTTCTATCATTTATTTTTTATTCTTATTTGTAATGTAGGGTAAGGGGAGAGATATATTTATGATGAAAGTAATTTAAAAATAAAATATATCCATATAAAATAAATGTATGGTTTTAACTATTATTTCTCAGCACGAATACAGGAATAATATGAGAATCTCTTTTCAGATGGTCAAATTTGGTTACTGATTGGAAACTTTATTCAGGGATTTGTAAAGATGCATACTCCTGAGAATTTTTATTTTTAGTTAAAAGGTGGATAATTAGTCTTGGGTATTTGTAGAGCTTGATCAGAATTGAAGTGTTAAATATGGGCAAATGAGAGAGGAAAAGTCAGTTACTCCACTGTAATAAGAACTCTGATACCTTTCCTCACACGCTAAAATCATCTTATAATTTTAATATGAAAGTATTAACTAACTTTGATTTAACAAACCTTTCAGTCAAGAGGGCATAACACATTTTATTTATTCTTGATGGGAGGATTAAAAACTCTAAAAAAACCCATAGGAATCAATGTTTTAGCAATATCTATAGCTCCTAAAAGGCAGTATTATCTATGGATACTTTGAAGTAAAGATTCCTTAGGGAATCTGTCAGTAGAGTTATTATTGATTGTTCTTTCCCTCTCAACAAACACAGTCTGTGCCAAAGCCCAGGGAGCAAGGGAGGCAGCAGAGTGCAATGTATGCAATAAAATTTAACTCATTATACTTTTCTAGGAAGTAATGACTTAAAATAGATTAATGTTAATAGTTTTCCAATCAGCTCTCAAATATTCGTAAGTCGTTAGGTTGTATGCCCCTGTGTTTTAAGATGGACTGAGGAAGAGCTCATTTTGAGTTTACTTTTTGTTTTTTTCTAGGCCTAGGAAGCAAAACTTTGAAATATATAACCTTTTGCAGATACTCAAGACACTCTCTGATGATGGAGCACACCCACTTCATCAATACATCAATACAATGGAAAACCATATCAAAATGCTTATGGGTGAATAAGAATAAATACCATAATTAAGAATGTGAAACTTATCTTACCAAGAATTTTCCAGATGTAGCATGCTATCTGCTTTCTTGGGAAGAAGAAATCAAGATTCTGTTGGTATGCATCATAAACAAAACAAGCAAAATATATAAAAATCACCAGGAGGTTAAAGTGAAAACAATAATTAGAAATTTTAGGCAAACATGATTGCATTCCTCCTTCTTCATAATGACACCCTCCCCTTACTTCCAGTACCCAAGGGCTTTCTTGTAGTTCTTAGTTGAGTAGGTTAAAGAGTCATGGAAAACTCTTGCAGGAAAAAAAAAACAAACAACAACAACAAAAAAACAAAACCAAAACTCCCCCTTCTCAATGAAAACCTAAATGGAAAAGGTCAGTAGGTTGGAAGAAAAGGAGAATGAGCAGTAAAGGAAAATTTTAGATGGGAAAGAGTTAGTTTTAAACACTAAATGAATAGAAGAATTAAATTATTTAACATTTACATTATATAATTGTGGCTGTATTAGTGGGTAGGAAGTAAAGTAAAATTCCCAGGACTTATATTCAATCAGAAAAGCCTCTGGGGATATGGTCTGATTTTAATAGGCTTTGAGAAAACCAAGTGTTGGCAAGCTTCCAGTTAAGTGTCGGTTGTTTCCTGTTTTCATTAATTCAGCAAATATTTATTGAACATCTGAGCAAGTCATTGTTTAAGGGGTAGGAAACAGCATGAAGTATGAAGTGTGGTGAATGAGAGGAGACAACGAACTCAGTATCCTCCCGAGATAAAGTTACTCTGCAACACTAGTCACCAATATTTCTCAGTGCAAAAGCAATCCTAGCATTTATACAATTCAGTTCTAATCATAGTAAACTTCACAGTGAGCCCTTCATACTGGTGTTAATGACCAGACCCAATACATCAAGAAGGGGATCTTCCAAAGTTCTGTTTTGATAGAATCAATGTGATATGAGCGGTACTTAAAATATAGTTAGTGTGAGTCTAGAACAAAACAAAATGAAATAAAACAAACAACAAAAGGTCTTCCTCCCTTCGTTGCAGAATTGGGGGAACAATAGGTGTAAAATGCCACATGTACTGTGGGTGTGGCCAATATGTTAGTTCAGTTTGCTAATGGCTTCCTACCCATCTCTCCTGCCCTCCTCCTTTGTTACAAAAGATGAACACTTGGGTAGGGAATGGAAAATTAAGAAATTAATAATACATAAAAGCAAAATCTTATCAATGAAAATGAGATAAAATATTTAAAATAAATAGCAAATTCAAAGGTCTTCCTTTTTATTCCGCAGCCCCCATTCTGAGCATTTGTTTAAGAAGTGGAAAGACAGAAAGAAAGGGTCCATAAATAACGATTTTTCATAGTCATACTTCTTATGATAACCAACAACTGGAAGCAAATGGGTATCTATCAACTGAGGAATGACCGAACAAACCACAATAATTAAAATAAAACATTTTGCCATATAAATTATGACAGTAATTCAGAGAAACATAGCAAGAGTTGGATGACTTGAGGCTGATTTAAGCAGAACCAGGATAACAATACATACAATAATTATAGAGATATAAGTGAAAAGAATATTAAAAACAAAATGAAATCTGGGATATTATAATGATTGATGTAATGACCCAGTCCTGTAGGACAGATAATGAAATATTGAAAATGCTGAATAATTGAAAATCTGAAATAATTGATACCATGAAATCCCTATACTTGGCAGAGAGATGGGAGACAACATAGGGCAGAGAGTTGCATATGTTTTCTGACTAATTACTGTACTGAGCTGTTTTCCTTTGTTAAAATGGAGTATAGAGTGCAAGGAGTGGTACTGAGGTGGATGCTATATATGGACATTTATGTGTATTAAAGAAAAAGGATATTAATACAACAATTAAAGCACTATTTCCAAGACAAAGTTCATGGGCTCAATTTGAAGGATAAGATACTGTGAAACGAGGACTCTTTCCACTCTCTATCCAAGGCACAAATAGGGAGAAATATAAACCCTTAGAAAATGAGTGAAGGACATTTCTATTAAATACCTACCAGATATATGTCTTATGTTCCCCATCCCTGATTGCTGAAATCTGGACGTGAAATCAAAATCTCACACAAGGGACACAATATAAACATACAAATAAATATTAAGCAGTATCACAATGCCCAAAGGATTAAGAACTACTGTCCTGGGGGAGACTTGTAGTCCATGTTTCTGGGTCAGTTCAGTTTTTTTTAAACTTTCTCACTAGTACTAATTACTTGCAATGTTCCCTGAGAACAAAGTTGAGGATCCAAAAAGCTATCAAAACTGCTGCTGAGAATATTAGTTGGGTAGAAGCAAAAATACTGATAGTTGTCAGTGCTCGCCATCCTCAGAGAGGTTATCCTTGTCAGGCTTGATTGGATATTTAACAACTCACAATTTTAGACCTGGAATGGAATTTTAAGATCACCTAGTGCAAGAGTTCTATGGACTTCTTAAAACAAACAAAGAATATTTTGATAACTGTAATTCAATATAATTATTTTCCTTTGTAATCCTATATGTACTTATATCCTTATTTTATGCACTTAAAATATTATTCCGAGAAAGGGTCCATAGCTTATATTAGACCTCCAACTGGATCTATGACACCTAAAATGCTGAGAATTCCTGATCTAGTCTGAATCTTTCTCATTGATGAGCTGAAGTGCAATGCAGTTCTCTATTCCTATTTAAAAATAATAATAATTTCTGGAATGATGAATCCTGACAAAATGAAAGCATTTCATTCTGAGGCTGGATTGAGCTTATCCTAATGTTGAACAAGCATGAACTAGCTTCCTTTCCTACTGGCACATTGAGTGACAAGGAAAGCTAAGGAAAACACAATGATGTCTCCATGAATGCTGGAGGAAAGCTTCACGTAAAGATACCCAGACTGTATTATCTTGACAGGAGTTAATCAGGAAGAAAGAGAATCTAGTAAGGGAAGATTTTTCTTTTGAAGAAGGTCATAGGTCATTCTACTTCTGGAGTATATATATTTATAGCCTTGTTCCTAGACTTTTCCTGTCCTTTGTTAGTGTCCAAAGGAGAGCATGTGGAATCCACCAAATAGAAACTCCATATGTAATTCCAGGAATCTTAGTTACTGTGTGTGTTAGTTGAAGGATCCACTTTTAACCAGAAACTTAATAATAGCTTTTGAGTGGCAGGGAGGGAGACAACAATGCATATTCAACAGGGAGAAAGAAGGTTGCCTTTCTCCATAAAAATAGTACAGACTCAAACTTTGAGGCCTTGAAGGACAAATGGGGTATTGAGGAAGGGCATTTACTAAATATCTTGAAATCCCTAAAGCAACTGATTTGGCACAACAGTGTTAGTGGGATCCCCAGGAATCATAGACACATTGGTTCACATTTAGAAGGGACCTCTGGAGACAATTCAAAACATAGAATCACAAATTTCAGTGTTGAAGGGATTTTCAATGGCCACTGAACTTAATTCATACCTGAAAAAGAATCTCATTTAAATGGTAAATAGTAAATGGTAAATAGATTTCCTTGAAGACCTCCAATGTAGGGGAAACCCGCTACCTCTTGAGGTAACCCATTCAAACTGTGTTTTTACAGATTGTAAATAAGTTTTCATCCTTTATATTAAGCTTCTTGGCAATGTCTATTACCTCTGGTTGCTCATAGTTTGGCCTCTGGGGCTACAACAAAAAAGATGAATCCCTCTTTTATGATAAGAGTTCTTCAAAAACTTGAACACGTCTATTAAGTCTTCTTTCTGCAAGGCATTTCTTCTCCAATAAAACATCTGCAGCTGCTTCAACTAACCTTGATATGGTATCAATTAGACACCACTCCCCATTCTAGATGCCCTCCTCTGGACACTCTCCAGCTTATCAAGGCTTTTCCTAAAATGGAATATCTAGAACCAAATACGCTAAATGTGGCCTGACCAGCTGAGAGTACAATGAGACTATCATTTCCTTATTCTTGAGTGCTGTATGCAACCCAACAACCTCATTTGAATGAAGAAGAAACTGAGGGTCAGACAGCGCAAGTGACTTTCACAATAGCATTTGGGGGTAATATTGTAGTGTCAGGATGTACTTTGACTCCAAACTCAATTCTTTCCCCCAATGCAATGCTGTACAGCCCACATCACAATCTCCATTTCTCAAACCAAACATTCTTAGTATCATTTCCATAGATCAGAGTCAGAGAGGTGGAGTCAAGATAAAGGAGGAGAAAGAATATAGTCTAGTTCCTCCAGTAAACTCCTCCCCAAAGGTCTAGAAAATGCACTACACTGAATTCTGATTGAAAAAAATCAAGAAAAAGTCACAGAGAGTCATCTTTCCAGCCCAGGGAGATTCAGGGAGACAGACAATCTTCAGACATTGGGGATTGAGTCTGGCCAAGAGCAGTGCCTGAAAACCCAGAATGGCACCAGGACAGGAAGCACCTGGGCAGGAAGAGAACCCAGAGGATCCCTGAACTAGTGCAGGATACAGGGATGGGTGCCTTCTGGCAGCTCACTTACTCACTACCCACTTCCCAGTCAGATCAGACTCAGGAGGTGTATCTGTAAACAGAGGTAGTAGAAGTGTTCCCTAGTGGGTCCTACCTGGATACTGATCAAGTAATAAGCTCAGAAGCCATCAGTAGTGGGGTGGTTGTGATTCCACAAACAGAATTGTAACTCAGTTATAGCCTCTAGCCCAAGCTCAGGCCAAAGAGGAGCATGCAGTTCAGTCTCTGAACCTGCAGAACCTCCTAGTGGGTTAATTGTCACAGATTCCAATAGCAGTCTAGTGAAATTCCTAAGTAGAGACAAGCCAATAGGCCCAAACCTAGGTTAGGAACTTATAAAGCTCAGACCACGAGTGCAGTGAACAGACTTAGCCCTGATTAACCCACTTTGGGATCACTGAAAGATTACAGGCCACCAGCCTGAGCTGTGAAAAGAGTAGACTAGAAGAAGCCAGAAGCTCTGCCTATGCATTCCTATCAGAAGTGCACAGATCCCAGAACTATTACAAAGTCTCATAGATTAGAGCTTATCTGA